AAAAAAAAAAAAAAAAAAGCAGAACATTTCTGTTATTTTTTCAGTATTTTATTATTGTTTTTTAAATAGAAATGTATGCTTTGAACTGGAGGAAACAAAAGGGTTCTAAGACAGCCCTGAGTTTTGCAACAATCAAGAAATTTCTGTGACGGGAACTGTGTCCTCAATCAGAGGAAAAAAAGATACACTGTTCTTACAGTGAACTAGCACAGCTTTTATATATAATTATAATGATATATATTTTTAAACTAGTTTTGCTGAAAGTGCTCTTTTATAGATCATTTTCTACAGAGTTTGTTTCCAATTTCAGCCTGTGAACATTAAACAGAATGTTAGTTATATACTCTTTAAGATCATGTAATAATATGTTAAAATTTCAGTAAAAACTACTGCCATGGAAAGGTCCACTTCATGGACCTATTTGGATAATTGGATTATGGTGTTTTATTTTAAAGATATTTTAAAATGAGATTTATGGAGCTGTGTAAAATTCGTGATTGGCATATAAAACTGCAAATATTGTTCTAACCCCATGAGCATTGTGAAATGGTGAGCAAAATAGGAACTGAAAATATCAGGGTCATTCAGCTCTGCTCGGGAGTACAGGGAGGGGAGCATCTTATGAAAATCCTATAGAGAAGGCACAACTTTCTCGGTTCACCTTTTCAAAGAAAAAAAAAATCTTTTGCTAAAAGGGCAATTTTGCTGTTATACCTCAGTAAATTTATTGCTTTTAGATTATATAGCAGAGAAACTTCAAAATGGATTTCTACTGTTGTATTTGGTTAGGAATAAGAACATCTCTTTATTTCCTTAGTGTGCTCCGTTTTATTTCCTTTAGTTATGGATATAGGATTGCTCTCTGAAGAAACTTGCTTCCCTACAGCCCATGTCCTAAATCTTCTGTGGGGCTGAGCAGAAGTTTGGGTTTTTTAGGGAGGGTTTTGAGGGTGAAGGAGACCCATATTTAATGCTGATATATTAACTTGTTTTATATTTGTTTATTTACTTGGAAATAATGTTTGAGGAAATTTCAGTTTGAGAAAAAACTGCCCTTGATTGTGCAGGACTTTTGGACTCAGTTCACGGGTAAATTATCACTTTTTTAATAAATAATTTCTTTCAAAATGTACTCTTGTAATTCAAAAGCATGAGAAAAACATACTTCAACCACCGTATAGATATGTTTTAGACTTGTTCCTAYGAATATGAGCTAAGTGCCTGATTTCAGCCTTGCTGGGAATGAGATTTAGTCACTCGTGTCTGAGAATACAAACAGGAAAATATCAGGAACAAGTTTTCAGTAAATAGTTCACCTATTCCCTTTTGCGATGAGATGTGCAGGAGTCAGATCATGAAATCCTGAGGTTTCCCTCCTCTATCAAATTAGCAAATTGGTCCCTTTAATGATTTTTTTTTTAAAAAGAAACATAAAACTATTACATGTCCCATTTTAAGGTGTAGGAAATTTCACTTATTTGTCTTTTTTCTTTAGGTTGTAGTGTTTGGGGTTTTTTTCTTATATGATATAGAATAAATAGAATTTCTGTGATTTCTGTAAGAATTGTGGTTTTTTTTTTCCTTTGCGAGTTTGTTACACTTTTGTTTTTAAAGCTTTGTAATGGAGAGAAGTTACTACTTGAAACAGGAGTGTAAAGACACAGGAAATGACCATGTTACCTTTTTTAATAATCTACCATTAAAAGTTTTGTCAGTTCTGTGGTTTAGAATTTAAATAACATACAAGAATTCTATCAAGTAATTGGAGTTCCCTTGCATTATTATATAGTGTAGAACATTTCAACAGAATTGTAGCAAAGTTAAGATTACATAGATTGATTTACGTTGGATCGTCTTGAGTTATCTGGTGTGAGATTTAGAATTTCGTTAATTGATGAAGGTATTTCCTGCTGAGATCTGTTGYAGAGAAAACCTAGATGTAGCCTCTTTTGATGAAGATCTTGGATATGAGAGCCAAGATCACAGGATATTATTATGTTCTGGGTTTGCCTTCTTGGAAAGTACCTTTTTATCATTGTAGGAGGTCTGCAGGAATTTGAGGATTAAGGTAGTAATAGAATAGAATAAGGTAGTAGCAGCTTCAGCTGAGGAGAAAAATGGTAGAAAACATTTGGGAAAAGTGGAGTGAACTTAAAATGACTTGCAGAGTTTCAAAGAACCAAGCCTGTGAGGAAAAATAAACTCAATATATATGAGCAGTCATATTTTGTACAGTGYTTTGAATTTCTCCCTCCTCCCTCAAGCACCAGAGTTTCAAGTTCACCTTTTTATTTCAAGTATTCTCCCAATTGCTGATGAGGAAGTCCCAAGCAGAGTTGAAATATTGGAGTCTCACAGACTTCCAGGTGTTTCCATTCGGATTTTGCCTTTTTAATGACTTTGTTTTCTTGTTTTCAGGATTTTGCTTCCCGGGCTAAACTGGCTGTCCAGAACCTGGTGCAGAAGGTTGGGTTCTTCGGCATTTTGGCCTGTGCTTCAGTAAGTTCATTTCCATAGCAGAGATGTTGGTAATCGCACGTCGCAGGCTGCATGTGTCACGGTGAAATCGGGACTCTAAACTAGGGCTTGGTCTTGTTTGAGCTCAGGCCTCGTCCGCAGGTTCTGCCTTCCCCAGGGTGCTGAGAGGACTCTGACTCGAGGAGATTCCTTTGGGCCCTCGTGTCTCTAGGAGCCAAGGGGAGCCCAAAGTGTGGAAACTAGTTTCAGAGTTAAAATTAAAAGGAGTACAAACTCTTAGTGACTTTTTCTCCCTAAGCAAGAGTTGATGCGAGCATCTCTGCTAATGCTATAGGCCAGATGCTCTTTTGGAGCCAAAAAGTGCTGAAGTCCTTGAGACAGAGAGACCAAAGTTACCTGTTTCTCAAATGTAAGCAGCCTGTGTGAGCTGGCAAGATTACCTACAATTACCTACAATTCTGTTTATGGATCTTTTGGACCATCGTCATGCTTTAAGCGGAGCCGTAGCTCCCTGAGCTCTTTAAGTCCTTCCACCTGGTAAGTGCTCAGCCTGCTCTGGGCCTGGCTCTGACTCATTCCCCTGTAGTCACCACCTTGTGAGGCATCGCTGCCGGGCGAGCTCGTCTGTCTGGTTTCGTGAGAGCGGCACTGCCGGAGCCGCCGGACACAGSGAGCGGAGGCAGGACACGAGGAAGGAGTGGGTGAACACGAGAGGTGATGTGTACACACTCCTGGTCCTTCCTGCTTAGTAAGGCTTAACCGTTTGCTTAACTTCATACCGACCTGGCACCCTGCTCTGCAATGGAGTCTGAGCAGCTTCCTCAGCTGGGCTGCCCCAGGCCGGGTCACCACGAACCCGCCGGGCATGGGTGAGGAGTCACACACATCCTATGTTTGCAAAATGACCCCAAAGCAGCAGCCCGGGAGAGGCAGTGGACAAAAACAGGGCTTCAGCACTTCTCTCCCCTCATAATTGCCACTTTATTTGGGGATTTTAAATGGTATTTTGGCTGGAAGTGTTTGCAGGCAGAGAAGGAGGAAGAACTAGGCTGTGAAGTGCTAATAAATGTCCCGATTGTAGTTGGTTGCAGTGCTGAGAAGCCACTGCTTGATAGGCAGAGAACTGCAGTCTCATTGAGTTTAAGCCTTTGCAAATTTGTCCAGGGCAGTTACCTGGGTGCAGCATTTCTTAAAGGCAAAAGGAAGGCCAGGCTTTTTTTTCCTGAGCCTAATTCTTGCATGACAGCAGCTCTGGGGAAGGACAGACAGAACTAGCCCTGCGCAAGAGCCCAGGAGAGACCCATGAGAATTTGCCCTGCTGCCTGTGTGGCCATTTTTGGTACCTCTCACTAGCATGTCTGTGATGATTACTATTTTTAATTGTTTTTAACCCTCTTTGACCTGCTAATATATCCGCACACCCCAAAGTGGACACGTTAAGTATTTTTTTTTTTGTGATACCCACAATTGCCCCCTCTAGAGTGATATTAGCAGCATATTTTAATTACTGTACCTTAGCCAAACAAACAAACAGAAGCCAAAAAGATGTTTGATACCAAGAGCAGCCCTGGCTGGGAAGAGCCCAGCTTTCTGGCTGTGGCCTAAGTAAATCATTGACTCGCCCTCTACGCCCAAGACAGCTGCCAGAGCTAAGGAGTCATTTTAGCTGCAGTGGGGCATGGTTGGAGACCGTTTCAGATTTCTTCCTATGCAGGTGGTGTTGTGGTGCTCATAAATTTGAATTGCTGCTCTGTAACAGTTCAGCATAACCCTCATAAGCTTTCTCACAGATTTCCATCCAGTTGAAAAGAGTTTCTTTATCTTTTCCTTTTTTTTTTGTTCTTTAAATATCTACATTTTTTATTTGTTTGAGTAAGAAAACACCATAGCTCAAGATATTAGCAGGATAACGTATTGCTACTCTAAATTAAATGTATCCCTAATGTTTGCTCAGACAGTCTGCCCTGTACTGCACACAGAGTGCGAAAGGTTGGAATTTTGGTATTTTCTTGGTTTAATTTCAAAAATATTTTACAGATAGTATCACGATACCAAACGTCAAGCCAAGGGTTTAACATAAAAAAAAATTAATTTTAAATTGAATGCACATGCTAAATAAATCTAATCAGTGTTTTTAAACTGGATACATATGACTATAAATGCCAGTTTCTAATGTACTTTTTCAGATGGAAATCATTGGGGATGTTCTGAACACTGGCTTCCAGGAGTGATGTGCTTGTCAGTGAGAAAATTTGATAAATCACTGAAAATGGCTTTGCTGTGGTTTCTGTGCATTGCACATGGAAAACCTCTTGTTTTGTCAGCTTTTTTTATAATCCGGGGGTAAGGAGGGACCATCAGAATGGAATTGTCTGGGACAGTGTCTAGCTCAATCCCCGAGACTGAAGTTAGGTGGTGTAATAAATTTTTGTAAGTACTGAGATACAAGAGTTTGGGATCAAGGTTAATAAGCACAAAATGCCTCTTTTTCAAAGTWTTTAATGTTCCCGTTCGTCTGGATTAAATGCTTGAATTCATGAACTTCTTTCCCTTGCRATTCCTAGATTCCAAACCCGCTGTTCGACCTGGCCGGCATAACATGCGGACACTTTCTGGTTCCCTTCTGGACCTTCTTTGGAGCGACCCTCATTGGGAAGGCAGTCATTAAAATGCACATCCAGGCAAGTGAATGCCCCGTGGCTGCGGGCTCCTTTTTGCAGAGCCTCTCCCACCGCAGTGCTTCGTGCTCGATCCTGGAGTCTCCCTTCCTGACCTGCACTAATGGAAATTAATTTGGTGCAAAGGATTTACAATAAAGGATCTGCTAGGCTTCTTATGCTCCAAACTGAGGCAACTGAATAATTTATAGCAAGGAGCTAATGAGCTCGCTGCCTACACCACTCAGGAAATTGGTGGTTAGCCAAGTTATTTACCTACGGTTTTTACCAGACTGAGAGGACTTTGTACTAATAATGAACTTGCCTTTTTGGTAACAAGTACTCATTCCGAAGAGCGCTGCAGCTAGCCTTTACCAGCTAAGCAGTAGTTTTAAATGTTCTCTTTTATCACAGTTTAATGTGYAAGGAAAATCCCAGGCCTTTCAGGTCCTGCTGTCTGCAGAAAGCAGTCTGTGGGTTAGCCTGTGGATCATAACTTCTGAGTATGGTTAGTAATTTTTGGTGCCCTTGATCTGGGATATTTCTTAAGGGCCTGATTCCAGAGAGRGTCTGTTCAGTCCTTGTCATTAACTTAAATGCATCACTGTTTTTTATCCGGCACAGGATAAAGGACTGATTCCCTGGAGATGTTCTCCTGGCGGTGTGGTTAGATGGGGCTATCATGAACTGCATCACTTGATTTGTAATAATTAGAATCAGTGTTCTCAGCTGGGGCTTTTTTTTTTATTTTTTTTTTTTTTAAGGTCTGCATAGTGCTGATGCAGTAACTGTAGCCAGGCTGCTTGGAAATGTTTGCTGTCACTACATTAAAATAGCAGAAGCTGGCAGAAGTATAAAAAGTATAAAATTACTGTTCTAGTACCCTCCCCAAGCTCCTTAAAAATCTCTTCCCTGAATAGGAAACTTCAAACTTCCACTTTTTATTTTTTCCTCATCTTTTTGCAAATAGTTATTTTACTCCACAGAGTGTTGAAATGGAAGATGAAGGGGCTCCGGAAATTGTTTTGTGTATTGTGACAGGATTGCTTTTTCTTCTCACAGTTTTCTGTTGATTTAAACACTTCTGCTTTTAAATATGCGTAAAGATAGAATTTATTCTGGCAATGGAGAAGAGACTTAAGTGAATAGTACTTGTGTAGTATTCCCTTTATTTTATTTGCCTTGTTTAGCTGGGAGAGTGTTTGCTATGTAACTTATAGTGCTCTTCACTCCAAAATGACAAGCAACAAATACTTCCTAATGTCTGGTACAGCTGGTAAACCATTTCGTTTTATATTTTATATATATATATATATATATATATATTTAGCTAGGAGATTTTTGTTTTCTATGGTGCTCCACTTCAAGCACAGGGTTTTGCAATGACCTTGATTTTTGTAGTGATCTTGCTGTTATTTGGCATTTAGGAAACGTAACGATTGTGCAAAAGGCTCCTCGTGAAATCTCAAGGCAGGAAGCCAGTGACTCTGGTGGAGTGGCCATCCTGGAGCTGCTTTGAACTGGCCTCTTCCTCTGGACCACAAAATCATTCTGTGTAGCTCTAGTCACATCCCTTATTCCCAAACTAGTGAATGCTCTTCTCATTAGGTCATGTTTAAATTCATTTAAGGAGACTATGGGAACTCTGTGTGAGTATATACTCATATCTACGCATGGTCTTGCTCACTCTTTGTGAATGAGCAAGCTATCGAATGTGACAAAAGAACTAGCAAAAGTGTTTTTTAATAAAGTGTTAGCACTTTTGTAAGTGAAGTAAATGGTAAAATTACAGGCAAAGTCAGTCATGTGTTAGAATTGTCTTAGTTTAAAATTACTCTGTTTCAAATATTCTATTGCATTAGAGCAGTACTAAGTGATAATTAAGTGCTATATTTCTTTTTAACAGATACTCAAAGGCTCTTATTCTTCACTAAGTATTTTTATGTTATGCTTTCTGAAGCACATAAACTAGGGGCTAAAAGATTTATTATTTTCACTTTTGTGAGCTTTAAGTACATGTGCTTATGTGTAAAGGGATGTGAATTCTTCTGCACAGCGATGACTGTTTTTCCATTATAACATTGTTGACGGAGTAAAGTGACCTTGAGCTTCTGGGAATTTAGGCCTGGGGAGGATGCAAATGGTTAGTAACACAAGCTACAAAAACATTGCAAGAAATGAAATCTATGAGGAAAGAGAATAATAGAGTAAATAGCTTTCCTCTGTTCCGCCTCTTGAAAATAGTAATTAAAAAAACAAGGACCTTGGAAGAGAAGTGAGGGGAAAAATGCCTGTAAGTGCAGGAGGATCTGTTGAAGGGGAAAGGAACAGAAGTTGTCTTTGCTTCCCTTTTGATCAAACACCTCTCTGACTGGTTTTTTTCCTTCCAACAGAAACTTTTCGTTATTATAACATTCAGCAAACATATAGTGGAGCAGATGGTTTCCCTAATCGGGTGAGTAATTCTTTAACACAGTAATACCTTCAGTCATTACGTGGAAAAATACTGTAGGAGCTGAATCAGATGTGCTGAAAATTATGCTCTGCTTCTTAAGTGCAAGTTTTGGCCAACGGCTAATTTGCGACTCACCTCAAAGGCTTGAAGTACTTCAAGAAATATAATAGCACAGAAGGTCAGATGGCCTAAGTGTTTAATACCTACGTTTAGCTTTCGCCCAGAAAGATGAYAAACTATTCCAATAATAGATTGCAACATTTTTAGCTGCGAATAGATTGTTTTTATTCACTTTCTTCACTGCTGCATTGTGATCCCATGACAAAAAAAAAAAAAAAGAGAATTCTTGTAATTTATGTAGTGTCTAAAGTGGCTGATAAATGTTTTCCATAATTTGACTTCATACACTTGACCTCATACGCTTGAAATATGTTATGTCTGATAAAGTGTGTAGAATGCTTAGTGTGTCGAGTGGTATCGCCTTTCTACTGAAGTTCTTTTTTTAATAGGCGAAATCACAGGCTATTCCTGTTTTGAGAAAGCTTGTCTTTTTTTCTCTCTGGACCAATTTCTTTAGCAGTTGATTTTTTTCTTTTTTTTTTTTTCTTTTTTTTTTTTTTTTTTTAGTAAAAATCCCAATTTCCAACAAGAAAGTAGGGAAAACCAGATAACAGTGGGATTTAGAAAATACACAACCCCCTTAAATCTGTGTATTTCTATGTTGCTCCTAAGGATTTGAAGGGTTAGAAACCGATGATAAAGTGCTAGTTTTTTGCCTCATATCTACCTGTTCAGTCATCAATTGTGTGTAATTTTAGATTCCATTGCTGATACTAACACTTCCTGCTTGGTAATCCAACAAATATGATCTCAACGGGGCCTCTTTGACCATGAAGCAATTCACGAAACTTTTCAAAGAAAAACAAAATGTACCACTAAGTAATCTTAAATATATGCAACTAGATAGACTCATTCAGTATTTCGTCACAAAATAGTACTAATTGTTCAAGGAACAGTTGTGTGCTTGGGAGGAAAAGATGCATTTTTTATAAGATTCCTGTAATATCARGAATGCAGATTTAAAATTTTAAATATGATTCTCTACCACTTGAAAAGAAAAAGGGTTTGCTTGTTTATTTTTTAACTAGATACCTAATATAGATATCCCAAGCATAAAATAAATTCTAAAGTGGTTTTACTTTTCCAAGGTGTTTCAGTTATATGGGCATATTGATTGATACTTCACGACCCAAACTGCTCACATTAACAAAAAAAAAATCACCCAATCAACAATTTTGGCAGAGGAATGCCTGGAAATAACTGCTTTCAAAATATGTAAACTTGAAGTAGTAATGTTTTACAAAGGGCAAGGAGCATCGGAAAAGACATTCTGGGGCATTTCACTAATGAAACAGATCCTGACTTTATGACTTCCTGATCTTCCGATTGGGAGTCTGGCTTGTAACAAACTTCAAAATGAATTTGTTGCTTTGAACATTTTTTTAACAAAGAACGATGGCTGCTCTTAACAATGACTAGTTCGCTTTTCTTACCATGAACCACTCCAGACAATTTATTTCTTGATTTTCAAACAAGGCTGCTACGAGGTTAGATGTATTTCCAAAGCGTTGCTCTCCTGCAGTCTTTGAGCCAAAACTAGTAGTTTTTTCCTACTTCATCTGTCTTGGAGATAATTTTGCATCAAATTACTTAGAATGCATTCACAAGACCTCTGCTGGATTCGGATTTTATTAGATGGTTGATGTCAGAGGTAAAAAATGTTCTCGGGAGACAGAAGGATTTTTGGAATGTCCCGGTAGCGTTGACTTTTCTTAAACCGTCTGCTAGCATTACCTCATCATGGCTTTTTGGAGTGGAGCGTAAAACATGTTAAACAATAGCTTGCCTTAAAATCCATACTAACAAAAATTAAAATCTGAATCTGTTTAATAGCCAATAACTTTATTTTAATCAATTTCAGGCCATTAGTTTGACTTGTGACTTGGGGCCATTGCTTTTGCACATGAGCAAATATCTAAGCACAATACAATACTTTAATGTAATAAAAGTGTTAATATAGAGGATAAATGAAATCTAGGTAGGAGATTGAGCTGAGGCATCAGGTAATTAAGGTTTCAGAATATTTGAATTACTCTCCAGATAGAATTTTTTTTTTTTTTTTTGGTGGCTACCTGAGTTTCAAAGTAATAGTAAATGTGATTCACCTGTAGACATTTTCTGTGGCTCCGTAGCTGTTTATTTGTAGCTGCTGATCACACTGTGTACAAAACCTGTCCTCAGCAGGGCTTTTTTTTTTTTCTCATTTAGGATACTTGGATTTTACACTTCATTGCCTGGGTCTCCATTACAAAGGGATCCTACAATACCCTTTGTATTAATCAAACATAGGAGGAGGAAAAGAAAAATAGATGCGATGGGAAATTGGGATAGCTTGTGTTTTCACCCCAAATTTAAAATTTTGGGAGTGTCTAGTGTAAAACTTGTCCAAGACTGTGGAAGGGGCCACAGCGAAGCCCCCGGTAGCCGGGGTGCCAAGGAGACGGGACACGGGAAGGTTTGGGAAGCTGAAGCCARTGGAAATGGAGGCTGGAAACCCGACTCGGGTAGCAGAGGGGCTGGGGACTCACGTGGGACCCCCGTGACCAACCTGTTCTGCCAGGTAATGCCTGGAAATTGCATTAGTGCTGCTGAAAATGCAGGATCGAGTTTTCTCTCACATTGCAGTACTTTTGTGAGCCCTCGGTGGGGAAAGAGGATGTATAAGATTCCTGTCTTTGTGCTCTGTGACTTACAGCTGAGTTTAACCTATTGATCATCCACCTTAGCCCATTCAAAGTGTTTAATCGTGTGTGTTGTGGGTTTTCTTTTGGCTTTCCAAGCTTTCCACTTGTTTTATTGTTTTACCTAGAGCTGCAGGCCTGTTTATGGAGTTGCAGCCAGCGCATTGCTGTTAAGCCCGGGCGTGGCTGCTTTGAGGCAGCAATTTCCCTTGGGGATTAAGAGTTTTCCCCAAACTGCTAGGGATGGTGCCCAAATTGCRCACGCACGGCCACCAAGGGGTCTCAGTGCATCGCTGCGGGGTGAATGTTCACAAAGAAAAATCTCACTTTTTTTGGTTTAATTCAGCGTGATTTTGTGCTAATGCGCTAAGAACTTCCTTTGGGCATCTGGAAAATGCAGGAGCCTGTTTCATGCAGCGGGAAGCAGCTCTGGGCCTTCATCTCGGAGGCAGCAAGCGAGGCCATTCCGATGGGATGGCCATGTCCCATGGGGACAAATCGCACCCTCCGGGCAGGGACATTCCCAGACTGTTGCTGTTTTGTGATAAACTCGCGTGGGCTGCAGGGTGCCCTCCGAAGTGAGTCTGGAGCTGGCGCATGGAGAAAGGGCAACCGCTTTTACGGGAGAGCAGCCTCCTATGCTGTTTCTGCGGGAGCAGCAGAAACTTCAGATATAGGCACTGCATTAACGAGACTGAGTCATCAGGCTGCTTTGAAGTTGCCCTTGGTGATTTGCATGGACTGCCGTGGATTTGGTTTCTGTAACGCAGGCTCTGCATTTCCCAGTTCACTGGTGTTTGCTGGGCCACGAGGCTCCGCTTCGCGACTTGGCCTCAGCTGATTCTTGCAAGGAGCATCATGTGCCTCTATGGGGAAGGAAAAATGCAAATGACCGATGGTGACTGATACAGCTAGAAACCTTGTGGCTTAAATATAGCTTTCCCCCCCCACCTAAAAAACCAGTTTGCAATATAGCTTTGCGTTATTCCTTTAGGATATCTAGTGTCTGTTCAGTCTCATATGACCTGAAATGGCTGGGAAAATGGATAACTGAACAGGGGTTGAAAACCTCCTTGCAGGAGGGAAGGATTTGGGAGCCCACCCAGCTGCAGGTCCCATCCCGAGCCCGCCGGGCTCCGGGCATCCGCGCTGTGCGGAAACGGCCGCCGTGTCCACGAAGGGGCGCAGATGCAAGTGAAAGCCCTGGCATTAAAAAGCTTCCAGTGGATCACAACAGATTTATAGATGTTTATTTGCAAAAGGCTTGTGGGATTTAACCTCGGAGTGAGCGAGGGGGGTTGGGAGCGTGGAAATTGGGCTGTATCTTGAAGCTACAAAGASAAGTTTCCTTCCGAAGAGCAGGAGCGAGCAGAGGTAGGAACCAGCACTTCAGTGAGACGTCACAATCCCTGTTTCAGAAAGTTGATTTTAGCACAGCAAAGCAACCTAGGGAAAAGCGCTTTGGTAGCAGCCTGGATAACGGGAGCACTGGGGCAATGCTCCAGGGCCTCAAACGTGCACCGAGTTTGACTCMCTAATCTTCAAATAACTTTTGTTATTTCTTTTTGATCTTGTAAAAGCGAAGTGCATCTACCAAAGCTGCTTCTCACAGGCACCATCCCCTTCCCCCCCGGACGCTGATCCTGGCGGTAAATGGGATTTCTCGGGAGAAGCGGCAGCCGGAGCCGTCCCCGGAGCCGCGGTGCGGCTGAGTCAGGCTGGGGGCTGAGGCCCGATGTGACTCAGTGCGCAGGGGCCGGGCACTGGGGGAGCCGCGGGGAAACGGATGGTTTAAATACTGTGAGAATCTTTATCAGCACAGGAAATGACAGCTCATTAAAGTACTACCCCCTCCGCCTGTTTAGATCACTGTCTGGAAAAACATTAACCATTGCAGGTGCGGGCGGCTGGCGCCGCGCGCCACGGACCCGGCTCGGCCCCTCCATCACAGCGAGGTCTTCTCCAGAGGTTATCCCGCATAGGAGCAAAATTGCGGGAGGGACAGCTAAGATGAGCCCATATAATGACTTCTGTGGAGTGTCCTGCTGCCTTGGAGCTGCCAGGTGGCTTTTCCCTGTGTCCTCGCGGGGGAATGTGGCAAGAAACGTGGATCCAAGGAGGAGAGACCCCAGCATGGGAGCCAGTGGGGTTTGCAGGCCCGCTGCTCGGGCGCTCTGGCTGCCTGAGGTAAAAATGTGTTGAATCAAAGAAAAGAGYAAGAGAGGAGGAGCTGGAAGGGGAGAGGCGGCCAGCACGCGCCCTGCTCCRAACGGCGCATTCCCCAGTGCCGCTTAACGGCCTTTTCCTGGGAAGAGATAAGCTCTGGCCRCAGGCCCCGCTCACAGCAGGGGAAGATCTTGCGCGGCAGCAGGGCTTGTGCCACTGAGCACCCGGGATCTTCCCGTTTACTCCTTTCTGATCGTTTATTTTATGTTATTTTTTAATCTAAACTTATTAGCTTTAGTTTTAACCATTGGACGTTGGAGAGATTGCCCAGCAAGCAGGATTCTGGCTCAGGGTTGTGGCACTTTTCCCACCAGGGCTCAAGGCCGCCTGTGCCCCGGGTCGTTATTAGGGCTTCTCATCTCCCTGAGGGTATTTTTTTCATGATAAAGCAGATTTTCATGCTTTCTTCAGCCCCCAATGCTTAATGGTTCCTGGGCATCACCACCAAGGGGGTCCAGCTGTGTGCATAAGCTGCTGAGCAGAGAGCTCAGCTCRACTGCTCCTGAAATCCCTACCTGGGGTTTCAACTTCCATCAAAATACAAGGAGCTTCAGAGCTGCTTAAGATTAATCAGCTGCTTCATCACTTGCTCTTTGAGAGCTGTTGCAAAAGAGAAACTTTAATTAACACATTAATGTTCCTAAAATGAGAGTCTATGATAGCAACTTCAGTGTGTCTTAAAATACTTCATAATTTTAGCACTTCTGCCCACTTTTCCAGTAGAGAAGTGCCTCTRTTCGGAGTGTTTGTAACATGGGAAAACCTCATATTCAAAGCTGCGGAGCTGCGGTTGGGCATTTAGCAGCTTGTCCTAGAGTGGATGGTCCTGAATTCTAAACCTTGGATTAGGKGGGGTTTAATAAATCACAGTAACTTGTGGTCCTACAGATCGTAGGATGAAAAATGTGCCTTCCAAAGTGCAGATGCTTTGATGAAATGGTCTCAAAGAAGGGGGTGTAGTGTTAGTAAAAACGTGATTGGGTGAAGTACTGTGGAACTGTATTTCTGGTTACGCTGGCATCGGGAAACACTGCCCAGTCTGATGCGTCTTCTGATGGTGTTTGTGGAAACTCTTGATCTACTAAAAAGGCTCTGATAAAAAGAGGCATTTTCCAAAGTTCTCTCCTATGATTTCATTACTGGTGATGTGCATTTATGGTTGGAACACTGACAGGCATTATTTTGAAAGCAAATAAATTGTATATTGTGCACATGCTATCTTACTGTAACAGGAATAGATTTTTTTTTCAGCTGATACTGTCAAAACCTGCACATTTGAGATAATTTTAACCTAAAACTTCAATTATKCCGCCCATGCTGTGCCCTCCTTCCCACAGATGGGAAGTTTTGTTCTCTTAGTGCAAAAAGTTACTTACTTTATTTGMATAGAAATCATGTCTCAATTAAAAAATCTAAAATACATTTATTTAATTATACATACTAGGTAGTACTTTTGGAAACAGACTTCAGCAGTACTTTTTTCAGTGAAAGTAAAATTCTTAATGAGTGTTTTTGATAGTATTAGAATGTAAATAATTTTAAAAAATAATAATTCTGTGATTTAAGCTGTGACAAAGGTAGTAAAATATTTTGTCAGTCTGTGCTGAGTTTCAGTTGTTCATAAAGCATTTGACTTTAGCAGATCAGAATAAATTAAAAACTAAAAGTTTGGGTGTAAGAATGTTAACAGCTTTTGTGAAATCTCTTCTGAAACGTAATTTCTTCAGAAGTGTATTTTTTATATTAAAAAAAAAAAATGAAACTATTTTTTTTCTAAGTCTTGCTAAAGACTCCAGCCAGGCTCTTTGTTCTCTCGCCTCCTCCCGGTCACTGATTAACTGCCAAATCCACCAGGAACAAGGGACGGCAACCGGGAAGTAATTTCAGTGCTTATTTTCAGAGGCAAATCAGAGAGAGTGACTTCACAGATTGTATTTTATTTAKTTAGTTTATTTTTTCCCCTTTTGGTCACAGTCCTACCCCTTGTCTCTGAGGTCTTGGCATTTTCTATCTCCCTTTGGTAGCAACAGGGTTAGTGGGTTGAATTTCTCTGTACGTATGTGGGGGAACATCTTGCTGGTAATCAGATAAAATGAAACTTTTACATCTGTAGTTGGCAAGAAGGTGATTTTTTTTTTTGCTTTTGATAAAAAAGATCAACTCTGGTTAAATGGGTGAACTTTGAAAGTCTGCAAGAACTAACCAAGATGAACCCACTAGGATGAGTTCAAGTTTTGTTTCTGGAACTGTGGATATGTGTAGAAGTTTATTTTCTGTGTGTTACTGTGCTACATTTTAATCCTAATGCACTTAAAAGGAAACACTTAATGAATTGTAGCTTTTAGTGTTGAAGTGTTCCCTGGTTTGCAGTCTTGCAGGCTTCGGAGCGCGAGCTCTGCCTCTTGGGATCTTACAGTCCCCAAACGGCTTTGCTGCAGTGGCGGCCGGGCCCTTCGCTCCTTAGTCATTCTTGCAAAAGCGAAAAATGAGCAAAACTCTCAGTGAGGAAATTCTGCAACACRGGGGAGATGCCCGAGCATCCCCGAGAGCTGCTCCAGGTCCGTTCTGGTCTCGTCCTGCTGCGCCGTGTCACTCGGGCACCAGCTTAGGTCACTTTTCAGGGTAAAAGGTGGAGGAATTTGAGCAACCGTTGTGTTAATCATTCATCTGTCATCATCTAGATAATCCTAATTTCATATTCATGCAAAGGTTTAAAAGAAAAGTGTTACCTCTAGTGGTTTTCTCGGGCTCCCAGATGTCATTTGGAGAAAAAAAAAAAAAAAAAGGTGATTTCTATTTTGAATGTATTTTTTTTATCTGTGACTCGTTCTGACCAGGGAGTCACTGGGAGGTTTCTCAGCAAAAGAGGAGTCAGATTCTCACGGGTGGGTTGTGAAAAGCTGGAAATGGCTCGGCCGGGTTGTCCCGCTCATTCGTGAAATATGCACTGGATGTGATTTGGTCTCGGGTGAAACTCGGCACCCAGGCACAGAATCTCCACCCGCTTGTATCATCCTGGTGGTGAATCATGAGGGGAACAGGATATTTTATTTTATTTTATTTTATTTTATTTTATTTTATTTTATTTTATTTTATTTTATTTTATTTTATTTTATTTTATTTTATTTTATTTTATTTNTATTTTATTTTATTTTATTTTATTTTATTTTATTTTATTTTATTTTATTTTATTTTATTTTATTTTATTTTATTTTATTTTATTTTATTTTATTTCTTGCAAACATACATGGGGGAAAAAAATTGCTCGCCCTGGGCTAGTGAAGCGACTAGGTTTAATAGAGTGTAATAGCCTTTGAGCCTGCATTTCATTAAATATTAGCCATTGGGTTTGAGCTCCCCTTTAACTAGGGAAAAGGGAATGGATGGTGTGTCCCAAATATGTAAGTAAAAAATAAAAATAAAGTAGGTAGAGGGGAAATAATGTTCGCAGGTCATGGGTGTGCCTGTGAACGGGGCTGAGCCGCCTGACCCTGCAGTGTGAGGGCCTCAAACGGCGCTGGTTTCTCTAGTGCTTGTTCAGAGTGAGATGATGGGGTTTTTTTAATTCTGAAACTGTGCGGATTTCTGCAGGAAGGGAGGGGGGAAACAAAAGGAAAAGAAGGCGAAAAGAAATAMAAAATATTTTTATCTTCCCGGGGGCCCAAGCGGGGGGGGGCGGCGCTGGGGCCGATCGCGGGGGTCTCCCCGCACCCCCCCCTTTGTTCTTTGTTCCCGCCGGCGGCGGGAGGGGCGGCCCCGCCCGGGCGCGGATGACGCACGAATTGTCCTTATAAGGACTTGGCCGGCGCCGGGGCCGCCCCCGCCGCGCGCGGGGGGACGCGCCCCCGGCGGCCTCTGTTTTAAGCGGCGGTGACAGCGGCCCCGGCCACTTCCTCGCGCTTCGGAGCGGAGCAAAGCGGCGGCGCCGGGAGCCGCGGGCGGGGGGGTTCCCTGTGCCCCGCCGTGTCACCGCCGGCCGTCACCTCCATGCGCTTTGCTTTTAAAAGCGCACATATATATATATATATAAAAAAAACCCCCCTTTTTTTTTTTTCTTCTGAGCATTTGGGGAAATATTATATCGGTATCAGAAGCATCAGCTGCAAAGTTAAAGTGTATTTTATTGCGGGGGTATCTGCACCCCCACGCAGCGATGCCTTTCTGAGCTGTAGCTCGAGCTGAACTTTGCTCTATTCGGGTCAAAGTGGTAAGTTAAAAAAAAAAAAAATGTTTTTTTGGTTTTTGTTCCCCTATTTTGTCTTGTTCTCCGGGATGGATTTGCGGCAGGGCTGTCCCCAGGGTAGGTCCTTCTCTTCAGAAGCCGTTTCAGGAGTACTTGGAGGCCCAGAGGCTCAAGCTGCACCACAAGCAGGACAGCGGAGCGCCCCAGGTAAGAGCTGCCTCCCTCTGCTTGCCGCCCTTCTGCCTTTTACCCACCTGCTCCCGGCTCTGAGATGTGCAGGGGCCCCGGGGAGAGGTAAAAGCTCATTTTAAAGTAGCTGGGAATTCAAACTCATGCCGTAGTTGTGAGCAAGTGGGCTGAGACCTCCTGGAGAGTGAGGGAAGCAGCAAGCCCAGGCTAGAGGCTGGTCTTGGATCCATCCTCGCGTGTCCTCTCTGGGAAAGAAATGGAAACGGTAGGAGCTGCACTTACATGTGAAGCGATAGTGGCTGCCAGCAGAGAGAGTATCCATGGGATCCACATGCAGCTTTTACTGGCTGATAGGAGAAACAGAATCCTAAGCCTTTAATGTTCAAAGGAAAAGCAAACTACAGTGTTTGGAGAAGGTACAAAGGAGCAGAGGAATTTAATATGTTCATACAACATATTAAAAATTACTTTTGTAATTACGTGAGGTTTCAAGGCTGCTAAGGCATTATTTTATAAAATCTCATGTAAATCACACTTCTCACTTAGTACCTGTCGCAGTAGAAATGTTTCTTTGCTCATCCCTTACCAGAAAAGAAACTAAGTTAGGGAGGCTGCGGCTGGCTAAATGCAGGGTGCATTTGGAGCACGCGGATCCCTGTGCAGAGTGTTGCTRCCCTCCGCTGACGAAAGCCGAGCCTTAAGCAGCGCCCAGAACCCGCTCCAAGAGGGGCTGCCCCTCTTGGGAGAAGCGGCAGCTGCYCTTTGGGAGATGGGGCTGCTCTTTGGGAGACGGGGCAGTATCCACAGCTTGGGAGAACAAACACGGGCAAGCGGCGACCTCGGGGCTTCCTCGGCTCCGAGCGGGCCAGCTGGCAGGGGGGTAGACGGCTCTGAGCTCTGCGAGCACCAACCGTGCGAGCCCAGCAATAATAAATCACTTCCCGCAGGAACRACGGAGTCATTGGAGTTGTCCCCTGCCCGGCAGGGCATTTGGCAGCTCCCCCTGTATTGTCCTTCAGGGGACTAAAGCCAGCGGTACCGGGAGCCTGGGGGAATCCTGTCAGCCTGCACTTGGTTCCTGTTTTTAATGCCATGAAGTGCAGAGCACTGAGGCGCTTCCCCTTCGCCTAGGAAGCCTCGAGTTCTCCTCTGTGCTGTGCACTAACCTGCCTTGTCCTCCTTGTTTTGTCTTTTTGTTTCTTCAGGGGGAAAACTGGCTTTCCTGGATGTTTGAAAAACTGGTGATTGCCATGGTTTGCTATTTTATCTTATCTATCATCAACTCCATGGCCCAAAGCTATGCCAAACGACTGCAGCAGAAGATGTACTCTGAAGAGAAAACCAAATGAGCTCAGAAAAAAACCCTTGGAACGGGCTTTAGCAGACATGAAAAATGACATGTCTTTCCATATGTTTAAAAATCAGCATTATTCCAAACCGGGGAAAACTTTTTAACATCAATTTTCAACTATAACGTTTTGATTTTCTTTTGAAAGTAATTTGGCTATTAGAGCAGACCTTTCACTGACAAACTTATAAATTTTAAGGTAAGGTATAAATGCTTTCCTTGTCTGAGTTGTGTTATATGGGATGGGCGGTGTGATGTTAAGCTGGTGTTTAACACGGCTGTTGCCTGTCCAATTTACTTATAAAACTGATAATTTAATACTTAGCTGTATTCCAGTTTCTGGTTTGACTTTCAGCCTGGCCTAAGGGTAACTTTATTTTTGAAGGGTGGCTGTTTTGCCTTTTCCATAACTTTCCAGACCRTCAAAATGTACCCAACTGAATACAGACCGGATAGAAACTCTTGCATGTCCGTCGTGGTACCGCCCCTCCAGCCGGGCTCCCCGGTCCCTTGCATTGCACGCGCTCTCGGTGGGAAAGGCCACCCCTTAAAACCTGGTAATGATGTTCGCAGAGTCGGTCTATGTCAAAATACTGAAGCTGACTTTTTTTATTCTGTATATTTAGAATGAAGTCCAGATAAAAGTTTATAAAGTCATCTTTGATCATTCCAGAATTTCTCGTGTCAGTCTTTTTAAGCTGTTTCTCCTCCTTTCCACCTCTGTATACTCTGCTTCTTTATTAAGCCTTAATGCTGTGACCTGCATGCTTTGCTCATCCTCGCTGCACAAATGAAGCCCTTTGCTCCTTTTCTCTCCCCGCTCTTTTCCTCCTTACCAACTTCTCCCTTCGCAGAAGGAAGTAGCAGCCTGTAACTTGGCACCCTGCAGTGCAGCTCAGGGTTAAAAAGGGCAAGTTAAACAGCAAGCTGGACTTGTTAACCTAAATTAACCTAAACCTTCTTATTTGTCACTGATCACAGCACCATGCATGGTGCAGGAAAAGAAAGGGGGGAAGGAGTGTAAAGACTAAAAACAGATTGGTCATAAAATCCAACAGTGATATTTAAGAATGGCTTTAGAGCGCCTCAAACTTAACACTTTTAAAGATATTTTTAAAACATCGTTATGAGTCAGTGCATGTTCTGTTTCTAATGTACACTAACATAACAAATATTAAGGCTTGATTCCCTCTTTAGCAAGTAAATAACCACTCCACTGCGAAGGTGTATGTAACATTTCTCTAATAATTCTTGAATTAGTTCTTTTGGTTCTTATCCTACAGGCGAGTAACAGGAATTAATGTGATTTTTGATCGGTGTTACCAAAGGTGGCGTGTGAGCACCAAGTAGGTTAGACCCTGCTGTTAGGCTAGGGCAGATCTCCGKCCAGGTGTGAGACTCTGTCCCGTGTTCAGTCCTGCCTGAGTGTCCCCCTGTGTTGCCACCCGCCGCGACATCCTCATGGCTGTACCATCCTGTCGGATAGCTTATCAGACTGATGTTGACTGTTGGATCTCATGGCAACAACAGTCGGTAGGCTGTCTGACATTTTGGTATCTTTCATCTGACTGTTTGCYCATCCATCTCCAGCTGTTGCCATTGAACACGAACAGCACAGAAATGTGGTACAGAGAAACTAGGCAGGGCAGCCGGCTGCATCTCTTAAACTGCCTTCCTGTGCATGAGGTTTGTAGCGCTGCCTCCGGGTGCTTCGTATGGGACTGTAAACTGGCGGGGTCGCAGGATGAATGGGGAGTTCTCCTGTGCGCTTCTCTCCATGGGATTAAATATCTAGAACTCGTTAATGCTGAGGTAGTGCACAAAGGGCAATTATTTTCCATGTGTATTTTTAAAAAATGCACAGTATTTCTTAATTCTTGATTTTTTTCTTCTTTTTTCCCTCCCTTTGGCCTAAGGATGGACTTTGAAAATAATGTAACAAGGAAGTAATTCTGAGATGCACATGTGAAAAAAATGGCTGTTTCTGTCATTTCTACTAAAACCTGAATTTTGCACTTTCTGATAAATCACATATCAGCGTCCTACCTGCTTGTGTTTCTTCTGGGTACTTTGGCCTAGCGAAGCAGCTGTTTGCTCCCTCCCTGCTTTTAATGGCAGTTCCCCCCTACTCCCCTGCCCACGTTTGCCAGTCATCCCAGGGACGCTGGAAACGACACCACTCTGGTAGCGTCTTTAGGTCATTCTGATGATGAATGAAACTGGTGCCACTCGCAGGTACCTGTATTCTCAGAGTTAAATGAGGGACTGTGTAGTAGTAATAATAATAATAATAATAATCCCTCTTACTAGCACTTGTTCCAATAAAATATGACTTTTAAAATGCTTTATTGTCCTCCTTATAATTGTTTCCTTGCCTACTGGAGAATTGCTAGGTAAACTGAAAGCTTTTCTGACCTGTATTTAAATATATGTTTACACACACATAGTGAGAAATATATTGGTTATACTGCAAGTTGTACATGTCCATTCTGATGAACTGTGCTGTTATTTTGAAGCTTTCTAAAATTATTTAAAGAAGGGACTGGTCATTCTACTTGCTTCTACCCAAACAGCCACTGGAGGATGATCTTATAAATCCTGGTAAAAGGTAATAACACAAACGAAGGTTCTGCAAACTTAATAAGATTTGCAAATGGATAGTTTTATGTTTCTTTAAATAAACCAACAAAAACGTGTTTCTTGGCATTTATTTCACCTGGATTATTTTCATTTCTGTATATTGAGCTTGTTAAACTGTGAAAACTCTAAGTCAGTGAATGTGAACCTAGAGGATACCTCAGTGTTTCGTATCTCCAAAGGAGGACCCAGAGCCTTTACCGTTTCCTCTCAAAACATGTTTTGTTGCCTTAAAGTCTAGATTTGGTTTTCTTTGTATATATTTCAGGGTACTGTTTCATATTGGAAGTAGTCAATCATGCAGTTGAAACAGGGTTAGTGTGTACTCCAAAATGAACTCCTGCTACTAGAGCAACAGTCTGAGCTGATTTTTCTTGCAGTTCGGACACAGAGCAAAGCAGCTGTCAACCTGCTAATTTAAGCAAGTACTTTGGAGCTGAGGTCAGAGCACCCTGTAGCTGATCCTTTTCTCCTTGCTTTCTGCTTGACCTGTGAATTGTGCCTTGGGACGGGGTGCTTGGGAGCCCGGTGAGATGGCAGCGCCCTGGCTGGGCGGGACAAATTGTATTGATTTAAGCAAAGCTAAAAACGTCAGGCTGGTTTGTGCCAGGCCAGAGCACTGGGCAGGCAGGGCAACATCTGATTAAATCCACCCTCCTGCTCAGCATTGCCCCCAAGGGCACTGAGGGGGCTGCGGCCCCGTCGCTGGTTCTAGTTTCTTACCTGCAGACCCAAGGTTGTCGTTCAAGCAGCTCCCCGTCCATGCAAACAGGTACCTGTCACTAACGCTTGGAGGTGGCTTAGTGCTGATCCAGAATGTCCTTTCCTGCTGAGCCTTTGGGTTTCATTATTGATTCGTTAAAGCCGGCCTTCATCTCTCTGCAGGCAGCACTAATTGCAGCCATAAATACTGAGCCTGGTTCCCTGATTATCAAGCAGAAATAGAAATATTAATGCTCAGAACTGATCACAGGTGTAATAATAAGTGGTAACTGGGTGCATTTCCTGGAGGCACAAGTAAAGGTAATTGCAGTTTTCTTTGAAGCACATGGTTAAAAAAAMCGCTTTGCAATCAACAACTGAAGGTTGAATGTAATCGTATGTAAGATAACGGAAATAGCTTGTCGGGGGGTTAAGGTCTGTTTTTCTGTGATGCGGGTCGAGGGGGCACCAAGTCTGTAGGCCCTTGGCCTTCAGGGGTGCAGCAGCAAGCGGGGTGTGAAGGCGAGGGCGGGAGCCGGGTTTCTTGCTGGGCTCTGACCCCGGGGCCTCGTCCGGGTGAGGGTTTAATGGCTGCGGTGCTGGAACCTCATCAGGAGGGAGGTCGTGAAGCAACCGCTTCCCATGGGAAACACCCTGCAAATGCCGTCAGAGCCAGATTGAGGGGTAAATATTTGCATAGGCTTTTGCAAACTCATTTTTAAATAGATTATACAGGGAAAACTCTTTGAGCCTATCGTGACTTTCTTCAGTGTCTAATTGAGAGCATGAAATGCTAGTGACCTAGTATTTGTTTCATTTGCTTATTGATGCATCCACTTAGTCTTCATACAAAGTGGTAAAACTTTTATTTGTGGCATGAATGGAAAAGACTGCAACAACCTGGGTCTGCTGTGAAAGGAGAGACTGGGGCCCAAATCCAGCAGCTCGCATCAGGTGTGCAGATGTGTGGCTGTTTTGCCCTTCAGGTGCAAGCAGACGAGGTGCCCAGCAGCTACAAGGGGCTTCTTGGCATGTGCCAAGAGTTCAGCAAAATGCTGTGTTGCTCAAAAAGGTTGAGTATTGCTCTGTTTTGGCTTCAGACCGAAGAGGCTGTTGAGCTGTGACGTTATTCTGCCTATTTGCTGCTAATGGTGTTAACTGAGCTCAAATGTGCAAATGTGAGCCTGTGAAGTGGGCCAAGCTTTGTTTTAGTTTTGCCTTTAACATTTCTCCTTTTCTGTTGGAGGTTTATTATTATTATTAATTTATGGAATGACTAAGAGAGCTTTAAATCAAAGGTCATCCTTCTTTAAACCTCATTTGGCGAGCCGTTCAGATAGAGCTAGCTTAATGTGCTGCGTTTTCTGTGTCTCAAGGGAGTTACTGGTTAATTGCTGCTCTGGTTTCCCAAGAAGTACAGATGAGTTGCCCAGGCAGTTGGTAATAAGGAAACTAGCTGCTGTTTCCTGATGAAAGGTGAGAGATAGGAGTTGTCAGCCCTGCATTGTTCCCTGCCCTCGTAACTGCCCTTCCAACCACACCCTCCCCGTGGCCTCAAACCTTCTCTGTCCCTGTGGAATGTGCCTGTTGGTGCCCTGTCCCTGTTGAGGGCTGTGCTCTTCCTTCCTGAGAGCTCCTGCAGGAGAAGGGCTCTGTTTGGGTAGCTCATTAGATGCACTTCCCAAATCTCGCAGTGCAGTGACTTTGTGGTACCTTTATTTCCCTTCACGTATTCTCAGGAAGAAAACAGGGACTTCTCTCCCAGAGCTGCTGCTAACGAAACCACCTAAACCCTTCAGCCAAGGGCCACGCTTAGTGACGCGCAGCAAGTCCCGAAGGACGGTGCCTTTCAGCTCTGCTTCACAGGCCTTTTGAGAAGGCTTCTTAGCAGGTTTGCAGTGCTCAGTGTTTCTGTTCTGTCTCTGGAAGAAGCTGGATTTGCATAAAGGGAAAATACACTGTTAGCTTTACAAACACCTACAGCTCCACTCGCTTTCACAAAATGTCACTGGCTACATTATAGAAACCATATTTCCTTCAGTGCCCCTCACCTGCTGCAGCTGCTTGAGGCAGAGCTATAATACTCGAGTAATTTTCATAAAAGCAGATTTCGTTTCTCCAATTTCTTGCTTACATCTCAGCCCACATGAGCTCTTGTGACATACAGTTGCCATCGATGTGGCAGTAGGAGACTCAAGGTGGGAAATAGCTGCAAGAAGCAGCTTTTAGGTGCTGAAAACCAGTTTTTAGTCAAGCTCAGAGCAATAGATGCCAAAAGAAACTCTAGGCATTTCTTCTAGATTTGTGCTGATGCATGTGGTGATTTTGTCCCTGCTGCATCCTTTTTATATAAACTTGTTTTGGACATTTCTGCCTGTGCTCAACCTGCCCTGCGCTCGCTGCAAAGCCTGGGGGCTCAGGGCGGTCAGGTGAAGTGTRGAAATCTCCTGTCCTGGCAGTAGATTTTCAGGTAGATTTCTACTTTTTCGGTAGATTTCGAGGGGAGTATTGTGATGATGTGAATAATGAAAGTGCTTACTTGGCAGGCTTGATCCTGAGAGTTCAAACTTGGGACCTTCATTGGTGTCCGTTCTGCRCAGTCCTCCTCGCCCTGGCTGTCCTTGGTGCTTGGTGATTTTCTTTCAGCAAGTCCAGGCCTGTTAGCTGGACTCTTGTTCAGCCTGGACGGGACCCCATATGTGCTAAAGCAAGTTCAGATTTTGGTTATAAGTCACTGAAGAATAAGCAACTCTTCCATTCCAAACCATTAGGGTTGGATTTTTTTTTTTTTTTTTTTTTTTTTTAAATTGCACTTCACCATGAAACAGCCTGTCTGGAACTTTATGGAGGAAAATAACATGAAAATAAGAGTTAATGCCTCACAGAGAGGGAAATGAAGCTTTCTTCTTGGAGAAGGGTATTTGATTGGGTTTATGTTCATCAGTTGCCAATCCTAGCTTGCTTTCTCTTCCCAAAGCTCAGCCTAGAAAGGAGGAATTACCAATTTACAATGTCAAATAACTGCATAAATACAATTGCTGACCAGATGACAGAATCAGGCAGGAATACAGGCCCATTGAAAATGGGGCTCGGAGGAAACTTCCCAGTGTTTTCTTTGCAAGCAGCAGTGATACATGACATCAGCAGTAAGCAGTTTTACATGAAAATACATATTCTTGAGCTCAGTATTGTTGTGAGCCATCTGGAGAGCAGTAGCTCTGAACTGGTGCCCAGCTCTCGCTGTACTTATTGAGGACGTTATAATGAACCTACAGCTGCCTTTGCCAACCAGAAGTACAGAGTCAGTATTTTATTACACCTCCAGTGTGTGGGATAAG